ATCCTGGTAATGCCAGGTGATGCGCTCATCTTGGAAGTGAAGTAAAAGTCCTGTTTAATATTTTAGCTTTGTAATGCCACAAAACAAAGCACGATTGAAAACAATGAAAGCATGCAATGAAAGCATGCAGCAACATGGCACATGATCAACACCTGAACTCAACGGTTCAAGCGGTCAACAATGCTTCGACATTTTCGGCCACCCAGCACCCTAAATTTTCCGGAAATTTAGGGAGCTGGGCCGTGGCTTCTGAACATGATCAGGCTACATCCGTTTCCTAAATTTCCTGAAAATTTTGGGTGTGTAAATTTTCGGAAAATTTAGGAAAGCGATGAAGCAAATTTTCCGGAAATTTAGGGACCGAGGCTTCGGGCTACCCGGAACCAGAAATTTTCCAGAAATTTAGGGGAGCGAATCCGGCTTGCGGCCGTCGAAGAGGCCCAGCCTTTCAAAGAGCACAGCCCAAGCCCCAAAATTTCCCGGAAATTTTGGGTCCCGGGTAGGCCAAAGCGGCTTGCTCGCCGGGGTCCAGAAATTTCCGGAAAATTTTGGGGCTGGGGCACTCCGAGGCGTGACGCACCGCATAGGGCTGGTTTGACCGTAGCGTTTTATAGAGTAGATTATAATGGACGCCAATAATCTCCACTATATGGAATGTATATGAAAACGATGGACAATTCCTTGAATAATAATTTCTAAGAAGATCGATTTTGCAAATAAATTTTCTGAATGATATTTTAATATCAAATTTCCTCTTTCTATTCCTCTCTTCTCTCTCATTCATTCCATGAAAACGCAAGTCATCTAAATCTACAAACCTAATCTCTCTCGTAATTCCAGATAAATCGACCAAATCCCCTAAGTCCGTGCCAATGAGGCACTACTCCGAAATGCTTCGATATATAATTATGATTTGCATCGCCAATATTATGATATTAGAGATATATATACTCGCAAGCCCAAAAACAAATAAATCAACATATATATCACAATCATACGTCGCAAACAAAAGCATATGAACCCCCCATAGAAATTCATACGAAAATTTATGAGAAATTTGAATTCCCATAAAATATGAAAGAGATTTATTAAATTCCTCCCCATCGGGATTAAAAGATTTATAAACGATATTTGCGTCAAGAAATATCTGCGCGATTCAGAGAGGCGTCTGCCTTCTCCCCAAACCTAAGTCTGAACAACGCCCCGAAGTCAGATAAAACATGCAAACTGAGCAAGTTGTGATTTTCAGCATGGTCGACGGCGCGAGGCTGGAAGAGACGTCTCATGCAAGTCACTGGCCTGACGTAGCATGTTTCTTCATAGGAAACCCGGGCAACTTGACTGCATCTGTTGAGAACAGCCGTGATGCGTTCATGGTTAAAGGTTTCCCCGCGCTAGACACGCAAACGGAGACAAACACCAAGCAAGTTACTAGAACGACGCAGCAATTCTTCAATGAATTTAAAACCCCAGCACCGCAAATGCGGAGCGTATGTTCACAAGAAGGCAGAACCAGAAAGCCACTGGGAAATGCACGCCGTGAAGCCTACACCCAATCTTCAACACCTCGAAGCCGGAGCCTTCACGACAGTGACGCAGCTCTGTTTTGCACTGGAGCTTAAGGGCGCCCCACTACACAGTCTACTCATGTCCCCCTTTCGGGGCCTTGCGCTGAACCAACTCCACCTCAACAACTCGGGCCAACTAGCCCTACCTACGTCTGTGCCTCCAAGGAAATAAGACTAACATCAAGCACCTACGAAATGCGCACTCTGCGCACTCAGAGGTGTTCCAAAAGATGCAGCCATGAAGGCTTGAACTCCAAGCCCACAATTTGCCTGCTCTCCTCGGTCCGGCGCTGTAGGCCTGTGAGAAAATTGTGAGGACGTTTCTGGCTCGCACCATGTTGGCGACACGACTCCTGAGCCTGTCCCTACTCCGGCATCCTATTCACCCTAAACCCTGAAGCCCCCTTCTTCCGTAACCGTCGCCCAGGAATCCGGCCGCCTGAGCCTTATCTCGGCTCGCAGCTCCGCCACCTGACTGAGGGGAGGGGCACCTCCTTGGTTATATTTCTGCTTCTGTCCCTGACTCATAGACCCCCCCTCCACCAAGTTATATAAAGTCGCGCTTTCCGCGGACGTGCTGGCCACCACCCAAAATGTACCCAAATGGTGGGAGGTTCGCATTGCAAGGCTGCCCGTAAATGTCGAGGAACGCCCCCTCCCGATTACATCAACAAGGGTCCCCCTAGAGGGCTAGGGAAGAGCTCAAAAATTGATAAGGCGGCTCTTGTAAAGGCAGGTAAAGCACCTAGTCTATTTTCGGGTTTCAGGAAGTCTTTTCGTGGTTCACCATCGCATGCGATCACACGTCGAAAGATGCCTCGCGCCGGAGTGCAGATACCTGGCAGCGCCAGGGCTACGGAAGACGCACCAAGATAAGGCTCAGATTTGAGGAATTGATACGGCGGCTTTTGGTCTTTGCCAAGGGTTGCTCTTTCAGTCCTGATACGGTCGTGCCATGTAATCACAGAATACCAATGGAAAAACGAAGCCCGACATCCTAAACCCCCAAAGCTGGAACCACTCATGTACTGAAATTCGCTCCGAAGTTTTCCCCAAAGAGCCAAATCGCAAGCCCTGGTCCCTAAGATTTTGGGTTCAAGTTGTCCTCCAAAGAGCCAAATCGCAAGCCCTGGTCCCTATTCTGCAGTCATGAGCATCAATACCCCAAAACGAGCAATATTGAACAAAACCCTAAAACTTCATCAAGAGCACCAATACGCAACAACTATATATGAATATTTCCGCAATGTCAAGAGCATTAATTGAGCATCAAAAGTATGTTCCACACCGGCATGTAGGAGCACTCTGCTCCTGTTGGCATGCAGATCGCTGCCCGCTGCTGCCCGCTGATATCCAGCTTTGCTCGCTGCTGCCTAGCAGCTTCGATTTGCTCGCTGCTATCCCTAGCAGCTTCCAAACCGGCGCTGCTAACCTCTATCAGCCGCTGCTAAATCCTAGCAGCCGCTGATAGCATCATTTTGCTTGGTTAAATCGACCTATCAGCCGCTGATAGATCTAGAAGCTCCCAATGCCACTCAAGCCGGGTCATGAAGGGCGCTCCCGCCTGCACCCGCAGAGACGCAAACCGGATAAGGGTCCTCTGTGGGGGCATGCGGGGGCATGATGCCAGGATGTCTTTGTCCTGGCCAACCTGAAGCTTATACCCATCTGTAGACTGCCACTGTTCCGAACAATCCCGAAGCCCTGAAACCCTTCATGTGCAATTTCAATAGCAACACAAACAGCTGGCGATTCAAGCGCTCGGCGTGCGGAACGCCTCGCCATCGTGGGAGCGCCTCCTGCTGCGTGCAGCGTGATGCAGTGTTGACAATCAAGCATGCAATATCATAATATCGAGTGACAACCGCGCCCTGATGAGCCCACAACGACACACGAGCTCACCTTCGCTACATGACTCATGCGGTGGGGTTGCCTTCTGTGGATGTCCTTGAGGTGGGCTTCCCAGGACTCCTGGGCTTGTGAGCACTGATGCCGGGAATCACATCCACACGCCCAAGCGCCCTCTGCCTGCGCGGAGTCCAGCTCCTTCATGAAGGCGTCCCAGGCTTCCTGCGCTTGAACAGGGAAAGCACAACGCGAGCTGCGCCCTCACGCACAAGTTGGCAAGCATCAACGCACCGCAACCACCCCCTGCCTCAGAGAGGAGACTGCCGTAGGGCTCCCCGCAGGACTCCTGCCGGGAAGGCAACATGGAGCCCTCGCACGGCAGTTTATCAGCAAAAGCACCATCTTCTCCATCACCCTCGGGTGTCATCACCAACGCTGCAGCAACGGTGAAGCTACTTAGCAGCTACTTGCTGGGGTCCCTGTCGAATGGCTGGAAGGATTCATCGCACCTGCCAAGCACGGCCCATGAGCCGAGTACAATTTGATTGATTCAAGGTTTAGGGTTTGGGGGCTGGGCTGTCGGGCCTGTGGGTCACTGTAGGTAGGGCTGTGGCCAGGCTCGGGGTTCCACGTCACACCGTCATGCCAGGGACTTTTAGCTCATCTGGTTTGATACTGGGGATGCAAAAGTTTACGGACCCGCCCTCCATTACGAGTTTAAACGAGCTTGAAGCCTAAACAAAGGTTTAGGGAACTGCCGCTGCTGTCGTGGAAATCCCCAACCCAGGTCCCGGCTTTCGTCTTGACATAATCCTGCGGTGTAGTTTCGAAGTAGTGTTTCGAAGTCTGAGTATCACCAGATTCATGCAGGGCTTTGTGTAGTTCACGAAAGTCCTAGCCGATCAAGGTCTGGGAATCTATTGCAGGTGGACTGTGCGAGGTATGCAGCTCCCAGACTATCCCCCTAAGCCAAGCGCAGTGTACCCGAAACAACCTGTGGGAACCTCGTCGAGGGCTGGTGGGGATGCAACAGTCGCAGGGTCGGCTTCGTGCTTATAAGCCTCTGGGGAACAAGGACCATACCGGAGTGAGAACCATGCCGGAGGTGCTTCTTCTCAGCGTTCGGTCCTCAGTAGAAAAAAGCCCCGGAAGACCACGTACCCCTCAAGGCATATTCACATCGGGACCCTAAGCCCTGTCCGCTAAATCGTAAAGAGCGGGATGGCCATTCTCTGGGCCCGAAAGAGGGCCCCTTAAATCCTAAAGACAAAGCCCCTGGAATCTTGAATCCCCAAAAAACTAACACTATTCCTTGATCCTTTTCCCTAAGCCCTAAAGAGAGCGTCAGTAGAGAGCGTCCTGAGTTCTGAAAGAGAAGAGCCAAGCCCTAGTCACTAGTCCCCAAACCTGTTTCGCATGATGCTCAAGAGCAGGATTCCTAAGTCGAAGCCCCATTCCCTAACCCTAAAGAGCGCGCCTAGGGAAGCCCGTACAGGAGACAACCACAGCACAGAGGAAATATCGACATCCGGGACTACTGTGAGCAGATAACATTGGTTTTATCTATGGCCATGTACACACTCCTCAGGCGCCCGGGCCACGTCCGTGTCTCTCAGCGAGACGCAGCCCCGGTTTTATCTCAGCAAGCATGTTCAACGTAAAGGCTGCCGAAGGTCCCGTGAACATGTTCTCAACATAGTCCGCGTGTCCAGAGCAGTCCATATGGCAGTAGTGCCTGGCATTCGTCTAGGAAATCTCATGGTCAAAACACTGGATCTTTAAACCCAAAACCCCAAACCCTAAGCGGAAGAGGAATCCTACGAAGGCCTGGACTCCGTCTCGTACTCGATGTGCGAGGCCTTAGAAGCAAGGATGAACCCCAAAGGGGCTTCTGGTTCATAAACGCTGGGTTCGGGTTTAGGATTTAGGGGGGGGGGGGGTGGGGGGGGGGGGGGTGGCGTTTCCCAAAATGAGGCTGTCCCTTCATTTTCTTCCCCCCCCCCTCTTATGGTAGGAACCCCGATTGACCGGTTTATATCAGCATCTTGCGAGACTCTGATAAGGGAAGCTTCCCACCTAAAACTGTCCTAGTATCTCTGAATCCCTGGAGTCTCGGAAGAGCATTCCGAGCAAGAAGCCAACAGCTAGTTCACACCTCGAAGCAGCTCTACGTCCTTCATGAGAAGTATCAGGACCGAGCGCTTCATTGACGCGTGAAACGTGAGGATGCCTTATTGCAAGAATCCCCAAATGGACACCCCATGTAGACACTCACCGAGATTTCAATCCAACCCTACATACGCTCAACAATCATGGTAACGTTAACCCATCCCTAACCCTAAACCCGAAACCATTTCTCATTTAAGTATGTAAGCTTCATTTGGTTCCCAAGGGGCGTTGATGGTACTTCCGCGGGCTCGCTCCTCTGGCGCGTTGTCGATCTCCTGTGGGGCTCTAGGGTTTGGGACTCCTTGCCTTGAGGTGTTTAGGGTGTAGGGACAGTGTACATGTTTTGTATGCTCTCGGATGTGAAGCATATGACCGGAAAACTTAGTGTTCCACTAGCGGTCTATGGGTGAAAGTTAAGAGTTTGTTTCGCCCGAGCGAAGACAAAGAACCTGGCCGGGCAAATCTATAAACCTTCAGCCGGTTAAGTCCTAGCACGGCTAGTTGCCCTAAACCCTTTAAGCCCTCGCATTAACCCTAACCCTCGATTTACCCCCAAGTGGTATCACCGGCCTCATAGGACTCCGTCCTGCCGTCGGAGGTGCTGGACCTGAACAACAAGCCCACTGAATGATTGTCACTCAGTCTTGACGACCCTTCAAGCAGACCAGTCACGGTGTTTAGGGTTCAGGGGTTTAGGGATTAGGGTGCAAGGTTTACATGCCCGACGAGTTGTCAGCCGGGCACCGGGCTGGCCGCAAACAGGGGAGCTGGACGCCGAGAACGTGGTCTTGCCGTCGACGTGGCCGATGGTGCCCATGTTGGTGTGGCCCTAGAGTCATTAGAAACCCTCAGTCTCATATTATTGGCGACTCCTTTTGCCTTAATATCCCCCACCAACAAAGAAACAGGCCTGCCCCTAACACTGAACATCCCAGTAACAACAAGGAGATACTATGTCGTGAGAATACGCGATTTCTGCGGGGAGGGTTAACTACAATGGGGAAATTTCACCCCGGCACCAAACCCGACATGCTAAGTAGACACGGCGGGTGTTGGCTTGAAAGGTTCTTGGCGAACCTATCCAAAACCGAAATGGGCCCAGCCTCCAGTTGTTGGAGTGTGTGGTGTCCCTACACACCAAAGCTTAAACCTTAAACCTTACATGATAGCAGTATGTGTTCTGAATTGATGTGGATGGTGAAGTGTGTGCCCTAAGCCTCATGCAAAGCCCAGCTTCGGCTTTTCATGCTGGAGCCCTACGCCATTCTAAGGCCTAAGGCCTAAGGCCTAGGCCCTGACCCCTAAGCCCCAAGCCTAAACCCTGCCCTGAACCTTAAATTAAACCCTAAACCCAAATCCTAAATGAGCGCACTTGGGTCACCCTGGCGTCACCACCCTACTTACCGCTCTCAGGCCCCCCGAAACCCGAGATCTTCAACCCCAAGCTCGCGGTGTTGGCGATGGTGATGGTGATTTCTGTCAAGCACTACGGTGCTTGTCAACCTCTTTCTAGGAATGCGTGACAGCCGCGCCCTCGTGCCTTCAATTTTCGGCGGTTGGGCAGGTGCACGGAGCATTCATGCATTGATCTCACATACTATGCGGGCCTCCTCCTCCTCCTCTGCAGCAGCTAGCTCATGGAAATCGAAAAAGAAGTCATCCTTGCCAGCGCCGCTGCTGCTGCTGCTACTACTACTACTACTACTACTACTACTACTACTACTACTACTACTACTACTACTACTACTACTACTACTACGACGATTACGACTACGACGACGACGACGACACTTACAACACTACAACGCTGCAACACTGCAACACTGCAACACTACAACACGACTGCACGACTGCGCGACTACGCTACTACACTACTACCGTACGACCGTACTATACTATCGTACTACCGAACCTTCTACTTAACTGCAGGGTCCTTTGTCGCCTCCATGTACTTCTGCTTTGCCAGAACTGGTGGACAAATGCCTCCCACGTTACAATCTTGTGACCGGTGGGAGGCTCCCGGCAAGACTAATGCCTGGGTCGAGAACAGCCTTCACCTGCCCAGCGGCATCCGTCGGTGTACTGCTATCTTTTCTTCCGGTAGAACGGTGCCTGGGTCTTGACCAAAAGATTCGGATACTCCGTCGCCATGGGTGGCATGACGGCACCGTGTGCCGCCTGTGGCGTCACACCGCGAAATGACTGAAAATGGGAGCTTGTATGTGTCCCGTCCTTGTTGTCCTTGAGTGGCACAATGGCCTTGGAGCGCAGCCGATCGGCTCCCAACCACTCGTCATACCGCTTGTCATAGCCGATGAAGTTCACCTCCACGCAAAACAGGAGTTCACGAAAAGCAACCAGAGGAACAACGGCAATAGCTCTACCAGGGTGTTACTGCAAAGACCCCTCACTAGACTTCAATGCATGACAACATGGGTGTCTGGCAGGCAGAGGACGTATATCCACGTTGAGCGTTCTTTGAGTGCCTTGACTGGCGCAGCCTTCTTCTTCAAGTTGACGGCCACGACCTGGCATGCTACAGGGTGCACTGAACCACCCAAAAGATCGCTGAAGGGAGACCATGCAGGAACTGTCAATAAACACAAGTTTCAAGCCTACGTGGCCTCTGCTGCCCAATACTTTCCGTCGGCCTTGACTCTGGTCGCCCCCCGCGCCACTCCCACCATGCAGTGTCTTTGCCATGCAGTGTTCCTTCCCTCCCTTTGGAACTCAGGTCCATGCTTCAGCATGCAGGCGCATGGTTTTCCTGATTGCCGAGTAATCCATCGGCTTGGCCTTGGCGGGATCTCTCTCTCTCTCTCGCTCTCGTTTAGCCTCCTTTGCCTGATTTCAGCTGATTGCCTGATCGCCTACGTCGCTCGCAGTCGGCCTTGGCAGGGTTCTCCGTCTTCTCTTTCTTCGGCAAAGCCTCCGACCATCAAGAATGGAAAGAGGCAGGAGGGATCAGCACCAAATGTACTGTCAACTGTCCGCCTTTGATTTGAGCATGCCGATGGACACCCAAGCGTCGGCCTCGTCGCTGTAACCAGCATAGTGGACCTGCGGATTTACCGTGCGAGTAAGGTCCAGGTCGGGTCAGGTAAGGTCCTGTAGGATGTAGGAAAGAAGTCGCACTGCCCTCTCCCCACCTTCACGGGAGCCTTCCGTCTCTTTGGTGCCAGGCGAACAACCACGGCCCGATAACACTCACCTCGGCTTCTCATGTGACCTCAAGCACAGCGAATCTTCCATCCCAATTGCAGCAGGTCACCATCGTCCTTGTACATGGCGTGCAGCTTCATGCCCACTGCCAGGTACTCCACCATGGCCACTCCTCCGAGCGCCGTTCGCAACGAACAGCATACAGCCCGGCAGTCAAGTAACCTAGGATAAGCCCACAAGCGCGGCCGAAGCACTGGACAATTTGCTGCAGCTGTCGAATTTCTTGGCTAGCTCGAGCTCTGCATGCCCGCGGACGCAGCGGCTAATCTCAAGCTGAGCTGGATGCAACGAGACCAAACATGTAAGACTCACATGGCTCACTCACTAAGCGATGCAGATCTGGATTCTACCGCACAAGCAGACTCGACAAATTGGTGTCGGTGTTCAGCAATGCATGGCAGATATCTGGGAAAACTCTGACGTGTTCTTGTTTCGGATCGGATTCCAAACGCCGGGACTGCAGGATTCCTGCCCGCCCAAGAATGTATTATGACGTGACGGGGGGGGGGGGGGGGTTTTGGGGCGGTGGGTGGGGGGGGGGGGGGGGGGGCATACATTTCAGATTCTCTAGCTTGCTAACTTCAATATCAGCCGCAGCTACTGGAATTTAAAAGAGCTGAAATTAAGGTTGTGCGAAAGTGTTACAGAAACATGACTGGGCCCGAATATAGTCGGGATTTTGCGAGTTCGACCAGTCACAACATGGCTGTGACCACGAGGCAACCTTCAATCCGAGCATCAAAGCTGGAAATCGAGGAGATCCATCGACCTGCCGAAACCTAAGACTTGAAACGGTTCTTAAGACTCTCATGAGCCTTGTTAAAGTGCTTCACATTACGCCATCAATGTCGAGAGTTTCAAACCATCGAAGCAACGACCAAAACCCGCAGGATGAATGTTGCAGAAGGTGCTACTATGTGCTGCTGAATTTTTTCATTGCACGAGGAGCTTTGGCGAATCGCAGTCATCCGGAGCTGTCACTTCGCAAGCGCAGGCTTCTATGCAGCACCGGCAGCAGCTTCGCATTCAGGCCCCGTCAGGTCGCTCAGTGATGCCGCCAGCTCTTGCTCCGGAATCCGCATTTGCAACTTGGGAGTGGAGTCGAGTACCTCCCAGCGCCCATGCCAAGGATGTGAAACGAAGAAGCGGGCCGTGGAACAAGTGACCAGTGACTCGTGTGCGATATCTGGATA